ATAAAGAAGGCCAGGTTTGTTTGAGAATCAGCAAGAAGAGAAAACTGAAAAATAATATTTCAGGTTAGTAGAGTGCATTTCCTCCAGGTATATCTCACTCCTTCTAGTTTATCCAGTAATTCAGACCCCTTTTAGAGATAAGGAGACAGGGGAACAGCCACACAGAGATTGACCAGCGTTCCCTAGTTGAGTGATTGTAAAAACAAGAGCAGATTTCAATTTTCTCCTGGATTTCTCTAGAAAATATTTTGCACCAGGAGAGACTTGAAAAGAGAAGAGAGTGGGAGACCGACACATTAGTGCCCTTGAAGGACAGGGGTTAGGGAGGGAGAAAATGGCTTTAAGGGCCAGCTCCGTTTCTGTAGCTGTCGTGTGCTGCCTGTTTCCTTCACAATATATTCATTTTATACGTCATGAATTTCAAAGTTAGAATAGAAATTATAATAAATAAAAGAAACAATACATAATGAGAGACTTATGGTGCTAAATCTAAATAAACTAAACAGATGGGAGAAACATAGTGCTTGTAAAGAAATGCAAACTTTAAAGGGATAAAGGATCTAGTTAGAAGGAGGAAAGTGGTAGGTTGGGAAGTCTGACAAAGAGAATGAAAATGAGTGGGAGAGGATTTAAAAAGACTACAAGTGAAGGAAGAGGGAGGGGACAATTTCCAAGAAAACATAAAGAACTTTTAAAGGGCCAAGTCAAGTAATTAAATCTATTAATAGAAACAGTTGATATCATTTTAAATCTTGGTTTAAAATATTATAGGGATTAAGATAAGGGTGGAAATGCTGTAAACTCTAAGAAAAGTGAATATTTTAGACACAAGAAAGCGTTAAAATTATGGAGGGCAAGAAAAAGAAAAAAAAATAGAAATCATGCTAATAATACTGTGGTAAATGAACAAAACCAGAAAATCCAAATCTGATATATTTTTATCTCATGAATATTTTATGAGAAATTGCTAAGCCCGAAGTGTTGTGCTAAGTAAACTGTGGGATCTTAGCAGGAGTTTAATGTTTCTGCTCTTAAGTGGCTTGCATGACTGCTGAAAAGTCAATATATACTATGGCAAACATTCATGACAAAACAAGGTTATCTATAAGCATACACCAGATGATTTAAACAAATCATTTGTGTTATAGACGTGTAATTAACAAGTAGATAAACCTCTAAGTACTGATCAGCCTCCAGCCCCTCCATTCCCCCAACCACACACAGTTCCACTTGCCCCCGACCTGCTGATCCTATTTCCCTTCTCTCAGAGAATCTGGTACCCTTCACCCCATTTCCAGGCCTGAAACCCGGGTGTCATATCAGATGCTTCAGATATTCCTAAACCCCAATCACTCAGTCTTAAATCCCCGCAATGTACTTCATCTCTGTTCCTGCTGGCACTGCTTTCCTTGAGGCTGACTTCTGCTCTTTCTTTCATACTC